AACACGACAGCTAGGAAAGACTTAAAAGTGCCTTCACGAAGAGGTGACAACCACGGTATTAGAAGTCATAGGTATGAGAGACTTCAAGAAGTCCTATGAAATCACTATTCCATGAGACTTTAAAACGCACGAGGCCTGTGAAACTCAGCATAGACGAAAGAGTGGAAATGGTGAAATGACTAATTAGAAGGACTCTTAAGTCTACTATCAGCTATAAACCAGCCATATATGCTGTCACCTGTCACAGAACTAACAGCCAGTGAAAACCGCCTGACAAAATAAAATTTTGGAAGACATTAATGCTGTAAAAACCGGTAAGGTATCAGGTACACATTGTGTCCGCATAGAAACACTTGAAAGAGACTACGAGGACCCAGTCGGAATGCTGACACCACTATTGTAGAAGATTTGGAAGAAACAAGAAGTAGGCACCTGCGGAATGAAAGAAGAACTATCTTGTTAGACTGACAAGGAAGAGAGAAATAAATTTATGAGTGATGATGAGGTATGAAAAAATATTAAGTTCCAATGTCCTAAGAAATAGAACTGATGCTCAGAACTGAATTAATCAAATCGAATTAATCAATTCATTGGCATATCAAGCCTCAGCAGAACCTACAGTGGCAGCCAACCATCCACCTCAAATTTCGTGACTTTGAAAGGCCTTCGAAGTAATTCGCAGATGCTTCAACATTATGGAGTGTAGAGTCACAAATATTTATAAACTTCATTCACGAGCTACTCCAGATCCTAAATAATTCCCAGCGAAATAACCATGGAAGCGAATAGAAAAGGAGGGAGGAGTAAGATAATGCTGCCTAATAATACCGATCAACTTCCGAAGTATGATGAACTGGACAGACCGTAGAAGTTGAGAAGAGGGGCACATGTTGGACTAACAAAAAGACCGTAGAATACATGTGTTCCACCGGCCATGTATGTTTCAAGTCGCACAAACTCGAAGAGAAAAGCAGCAACTTGTCAAGTGAGACACCGGAGACGGTATTTTTAGTTGAAGATATAGAAGACTGATGTAATGGAGATACTCGACTGAAAACAGAAGCACCAGTCACCGTTAAAGAAGAAATCTAAAGAAATTTGTTTCTTTCTCACCTACCTGACCTCGGAGGCATCCTTTTTTAAAAACAGAGAGCACGGATAAAACTTTTGAAATCAGAATCGGGAATGTGAGGCAGATGCCTATTTCTCCGGAAGAAATCAGTGAAGATATTCACAGTAGTTAATAAAAAGAAAAAGATTCAAACTTCTGAAACTAGTATGAAGTCAATCAGTCAGTCAGTTAGTACTCGTACGTGATTCCCGGAAATGACGTGTGATATCAGAAGCACTTCCGACAGGCTGCTGCAGATTTTCATCATTAGATGCGTTTTTTTCGATTCTGTTGGTAAGATGGTTAGAAATTATAATTAACAAGTAACTCTGGGGATGAATCAGCCAACAATCCATTGCCTTATAAATATGCCGAAGGTAATGAAAATGAACTGGACATACTCTGAATAGACTGACATTGAAGTAACATGAAAAAGCAGAGTCTAGACTGGAAGCCGAGAGGGAGAAGACGGGTTGAGTTTTCTAGAATGATAGGGTGGAGTCAGCGTGAGGAGAAGATGATAGCCTTAGCATAAATTTGAAACTGAACAATCTAGGTAATACTAATAAATGCTGACCTTAACCTCATCGACTCCTCAAGTACCAGTAGTACTTTGCTTGGTATCATAAGTAAAGCACTGCCATACCTAACGTTAATGTGTAATTTGTGCACAGAAGAAACTGCTTATCTCTTTATCGGGAGTGCTTTTGAATCATAAATAACAGTACCTAATCAGGTATGATTATGTTACCTGTAACTGCAGCTATTCTGGTCTGAAAACACTCTTGCAAATAGACTACATGAATAGCGACTACATCTTATGACAAGCGAGGATGATGGTCATAAGTGAAGATGTGAAATGTAGAAGACGCATATAACTACTGTCAGATGGAATCTTTTACTGTATCAAAAGATGCGGGTTTATCATTCATTTCAACGACTGGATATTTGAAGCGATTATTTGCCTGTGCCTCCTATGATACTGTTTCCGATGGTGTTGGGACGTCATGACAAATATAACATGAAGTCTTGTACAGAGTTGCAAACAGCTGTCTGTAGAATTCCACCCTCATCTCTTCGTCTGAGTTGTTCAAAGGAGCCTACCTTTTGATATGTGTCTTATTATCATCATTCTAAGCTACATATTACTGCCTTGATCACGTTGAAGTCCCGTTTTCATTGCGTGAGAAACCACAACGCTGATAATGACAAAATTACGGCCACATTATCAGTGTGGTCGTGTGAGTGACGAGAGTCGACTGTTTACTATCCGGTTAACCTTAGAGAGAGAGATCACTTCCAAGCTATCTGATCTCACGGATGAGTAATAAATACTTCTGAACATATCCCCTCAGATGTTGCACAGTATGAGTGGTCTCACCGGGTCACAAACATGGATCAGACACTGAATTGTATCCATGCTTACTTCTGTTTCCATACAGAGGGGAGATTTATCACTCACCGGCGATTTCTATCCTCCAGTTGAGGAGTCTTTCCGATTCCAATGGGTAGAAAGCTACATTCTCATGTGATTTGAATTGTTGGTAGAGATAGAGTTGTCTTTTTCCATGAGATGCCTTTACTTGCTCCACTCCCAACCTCCCTTACTCTCTTTTTATGTGAGTTGACTGGTAAGCGAACAGGGAATACACATGATATTGAAATATTCTAAATGACAATCAGTTAAAATTTTGTGAGTTTGCAGGTTTCATGGACCGTTAACACGCTGTTCAGTTAAACGTGAAACATAGTGTATTATTTTGAAACACACTTGGCCAGTCGTTATCAAGACGAAGCGTGTGTGAGTGGGTGAGTGAGTGACCCATATTCTAAAAAGCTTTAATTTCGATGACAGCACAATTAACACATTGTATGCACACTCTGGTGAGGTCAAAATACTCATGCAACATGTTCTCAGAAATCCATTAGCACTAACACATGTATGTATAGGGGTGTCTGAGCGTCTGATGAATTGAGAAATGATGGTGAGAGTACTCAAATTTGAGTAAACATGGAATCATCTTCACCGTCTCATTCATACTAACACTGGAGAGGTGTTAAATGTGAACGTGTGAATATGTGATGAATAAGCTAACATGATGGTTCTTCAACAATAATTTTCTTGCTTCACTTCAGATTTCACATGTATAGTATAAATACGCTTCTGAGCCTTAAATTTTTTGATATCAGTTGGTGCGTGACATACGAAATGATTGGAAGGAACATATCGGTAGATATTATTCGATTGGTGTTTCTGGGTTAGTCATCTTATATGCGTGTTTTTCATGGACATGTAATCTTTTTCTGATATCCTATTTTTTAAATACTTAATGCTTAGTAGTTCTTAAAACTGGCAATTAGTTGGCTTGTAGTATTTCCGATAGTGACGTGTAGACAGTTTTTAGCCTGGAGGTAAATATTTCTGACGTAAATCTACACTTTATTGTCGGCTTACAGCATAGGCTTGGTTTGTATATATTTGGTAACTGACTTTCACAGTGTGGAAGGAGGGAACCGAGAATTTTTACTAGATATATCAGTATTGAATACTTTGATGTTGGTTTTTTGAGTTTTACTCAACCTTTGTATAATAACATGATTGAATTTGTTATTATGTAAGCCTCTGCAAAATTTCTCTTCATGGCACCTAATTGTTGTATTGGATAAAAAGATATTCACTCAACACGTGCTTGATTATGTGCTTATTCGTGTTGACCTGGCATTGTTAATCGTATCAGCTATCTGGTTGTTGACAACCCTTGTGAATAAATCCAGGTGTGAAGGTATTCAAAAAACTGAGTATTTAGACAAAACTGTGTCACTTTTCCATCATTGGATGTCATCCAAATTTGGTACCCTCTGACTGACACACCCTTGACACATATATATATATATATATATATTATTCGACGTACACCTTTCACTAATTGATGAATGTATCATTGATATAAGGATAAAACTTGGGCACTGTGGTAGAGTGTAATTCCATTATGGGTAAATTTTATTTTGATAAAGTCTCACAGTGTTATACAGTAATATTTACTGATGACGTTTCGAGCACAATTTATTGCTCATAATCATATCAAGGTAATCAAGGTGATAATTTAGGAAGTCGTATGATTACCTTGATATGATTATGAGCAATAAATTCTGCTCGAAACGTCATCAGTAAATATTACAGGATAACACTGTGAGACTTTATCAAAATAAAATTTACCCATAATGGAATTGATGAATGTGTTTACAGGACAATGACGATTTTCTGATCATGTGTTTTGATATCTTTTTAAGTGATTTCCATTCATTGTGCTGTCTGTAAAACTATGGAGCGGGTGGATGAAAGTAAGTTGAGGTTTTCTTCAAAAAAAAAATTATTTCATAATGAACATTTCTCAGATGAACCAGTGATACACTAGTCGTAATATGTGACGCATAGATATTGTATAACCCAATTAATTTTACGTGTCACTGACTCAATGATACTGGTGAGATAATGGTGTTACTGGAAGTCGTAGGAATCGAAATTTAATTTATCTGTCATTAAGAGTGTGTACTTCACTTAGGATTGATAGATGTTTGTGCAGAGATTTATGAATATGGTTACGAATTGACAGTATGTCTTTAGGGCACAACGGAGTTTATTCCTTGGCTCTATTTCTGTGTGTGTGTGTGTGTATCGCTGTGATTTATCAAGTGAAAATCAATAATGTGAAGTATAATGATGATAGCCATGTCATCGGAAGTTTCGTGGTGAGATAGTAACAATCTTCGTTCCTATTTTTGAATATTTGTTACATAACTTGTCATTTTGATTATTTTTCTTTGTAAGCATGTTAATTCGACAATTATTTCATTTTTATTCGTGAAGTTATCTTTTAAATCCAGTGAGATGACAATGATTCGTCCGCTTGTAGAAAGTCATCTTTCACAAATTCACCTACTGTCTGTTATTCTACACTTTTCAGGTGAAGTGAAGAAGAAAATATCGACGTATGCAGAAGCCTACGGTTCATCGAAATTGAAAGAATGTGAGTGATTTTATTTGGTGTTTTGAGTGGTTGACTAAACATTCTATGTTTGACAGTCAATTGCATCAGTGTATACATGTGAACGACGGGGGGATATTTGCTTGATGTAATCAATGTACATACGACTAACATTCATTGGTGTGGTATTCTCTTTTTTGATAGATGATGTGATGGCTGCTTTGAATGCTTCGGATACAAAAGTGAAATTGGAAGAATTTGAATTAGGTGAGTAATTCATTGAAAATACTTCAGAATTTCATCGCTATGTATATTCTTCACTTCTGTTTGTTGAAGATGGAGAAGGACAGAGAATCCGTGATTCTTTATGCATTTATGATTAGATGTCGGTTTTCTTCAGTAAGGAGTTGAGTGTACAAGGCTTGTTGTGAGAATTTTTATATTTGTTTTATTTCAGTAATCTGTTTCATCTTCTTTGAAATAATCTGCAATATCAACTCTCAGTAACTTAATTTCCTATCTCTTTTACACTTCACCTACATGTTAGCTAGTGTTTTGGAGAGAAGTATTTGTCTGAAACAGCTGTTTAACTGAAAACATTTCTGTAGGATTGTATACGTATGTGTTGTAGTTTAAATGCACAGCTAACAGTCATCGTGTATTCTGGCAGTACTCCTATACAAATGTCTTAGTCTTCAGACTAACTTCGGCATTAAATCGCTTCTGATAAGTGTAATACTGGACAATACCTGTGGAGATTGAAAGTTGTGTCGAGATGAAGGTGAGTGTATAACAAGGAAATACTGTCGTTCATGCACACAGACACTCACACACTGACACAATTTATGCAAATTGTCTCATATTGAGGATTTGCCTCTTGAAATAATACTTCATAATTCCGTGCTCTGTATTCTATTGAAATGAGTTATTCAAATTTCAAGTTTTACTTGGTAGGGCTTTGATTTGTTTCAACTTTTATCACTATATGATGGCAGTTAGGGAAGCAGAGAAAACCTGTAACGAGTACTGGACTGCTGTTTCATCTTAGTTTGAGCATCTTTATCGGCATGCACCCCCTGCAATCTAGACACAGGACCTTCAGGCCACGAGGTGAAGTTCGCTGACCATTCAGCCATTTAGCTTCGAATCCAATGGGTCATGAATTTCGGATTCTGTCAATTATGATTTTAGCCCACACACCAGTCAATTTTATCGGCAAGTATTTATCCTAACTGGACGGACTCCGCTGTATAAGACTTCAGGGTAACTTCATTCTGCAGCCAGTTTATAACGAGCATCAGATCAATTTTCAAAGGTTAGTTTGCAGGGACGTGATTTGTCTCAGGTGTGATCATGGATTGATGATAAGAATTTACTTATGCATGTGTATTCCATGAAGTGATGCACTGATATTTTTTTTGAATTTCATTTACTTTTGCTATGTACCTGGTTTCGACGACTCGATGGATAAATACTTCTGCTTTTGAATTGTTTTCCGCTATCTGACGAATCTTTAGCCTCTTAAATACCATTGACTCATTTCGATGAGTAGTTATATATAACTTCAATCACCTTGTATATTGTCTGTTAGCTAGATCAACAAAGTGATGTTATCACCAGAAGGTCGTGTCCCCCGTTTATGACTGATATCATCAACAGCGTATCCTGTATAATTCATTTCATCTCAATCAATCAGCGGTGTGTAGTTTCACGCATTTACGCCTACACTTCCTTGATTATCTCATTAGTGGTGCATATAGTAGATCATTGATTTCCAAGAGAAACTCTGTAGGGAAATTTCATTGCATGGAAATTCGCAAACTGCAAACTACAAGCTTAATTCGCAATGTTCATTTCAAGTCAGTGTATGCAGTGAACGGAACTGTTGCATAAAATTCAATTATCGTCAATATCTGATCTTTTTCCTTTGCAGCACGTCGAAGAATGGAACACGAATTTCAGACGAGATGGGCTATTTTCTATCTTGATGGTATGTTAGGTTAACTTATTATTAATAATAGTAGTAATACTTGGACCTGAGTAGACTTATATATATTTATATGTTCTAATAGGAGGATGAGAACGAAATGCTTTGTATTAGGGAGAATAATCTGTAGTTTTCTTAACAAGATATAAGTCATACATGTGATGAGAAGATGTATATCCATCGTTACTGGGGATATGAAAATAAATGAAAGCAACTAGTGATTCGTTCATATTTGTTCATGGATCTCAGGTGTTTGTGTAAGTGTAAAATAAATGGCAGTCAGGCAATCATATTTGACATATTACTGGTCTTTACACATTAGTATGTCAGTGCAAAGCATATGTTGAATGATACTTAGTCTTCCATTGTGTTGTTTGTAATACTCTGACGTGAAATACGAAGTCTGTTGAATCCAATATATTGTTGTTTAAAAGATTCGACGCGTCCACCTCATTCATATATGTGCTACATTTCATCAAACTTAAGTTCTTCTTTGTTATTTCCTAAGCCTCCAAATCAGCTTTTAAACTGAATAATGAAAGTGAATTCCAAAAGATATACAAGTTATATTCAGGTAAGACTGAAAAGATACCTGTCAATATTTTATGCGAATGAATATACTATTATTATTATTACTATTATTTTCATGTTTAGTTCCTAGAGGAACATAGGGCTTCTGCTGCACGTCTCAATTACATTCGGTTCACTGCCAACGTTTCCACCTGCCTGCACGTCTGCCCGCATGCTTTCATCTCCTCTTCACATAATCTCCTTCATGTCACCCTCGCAATGATGAACATCTTGCCGCTTCCCATTCGGCTTCTTCTCGAGCAATGACCTGACATCTTATGTCGCTTGATGGTTTGTTTTCTCAGAGTATGGCCAATCCACCTCCATCTCTTCTTGCATTATTTGTTGCACAATCGGTTACTGGTTGGTTTGCTCCCAGAGATCCAAGCTGCTCATCTTTTCTGGCTGGCTATCTGATCTTGTATAATGATTGAAGAGAGCTGTTGATGAAGGTCTCTAGTTTGAAGGAAGTGACGCGCTAAGTCTCTGATCCGTATAGTGTCACTGAATTCACATTGCAGTTGAAAATCCGAGCCTTTTTTTCATACTGAGTGCTGCTGATCTCCACACAGACTTGAGAGTAATGAAAGCTCGCCTTGCTTTTCCGATCCTCGCTTTGATATTCTCATCGGTTCCGTAGAATGATTATAGAGTTCTTCTAAAATCCGTGTAATGAAACACCTTGATAGATGATGACATAGTTGAATAGAATCACAGTGTGAGAAATTAAAAGTGGTGCAATCCACTTCTCAGATATTCATCATTTCGCCTTATCCGTCTGCATTTGATTGGTCAGTGTATTTGTAAATGCAATTATTTTGTTTTGTGTTTCAGAAACACTATTGAAACTGCCAAAGAATCCATGTGAGTATTTCTTTTCTTTTGGTCTGCCTCATTTCTAATTAAATTTGAATGAGTGAGTGATGCATTATATATTTCCCCAAAAATTGACGAGTATTCCCCATTAGAAATAAGACGTGTATCAGTGAACTTTCTCACAATTAGTTAATCAGGAACCTAATCAACTTCCTTCATTTCTTTTATTTTGTCATCTTCTTCATCTCCTTTTTATATGATATGATCTCGATGTCAATGCCTTTGGCCATAATCTCTATTGCAACATGTTTTAGTTCATGTGTGATGGAATGTGACTGATGACATTTTTTTTCAAACTTCATGAGATAAACTCATTTCTGCTTATATTCATTCTTTCCAGGTTATGATATTCTGAATCAACCCAAAGAAAGAGTATGGAGCATAGCCATTAGAGAGAAAATTAGGCAGAGTATGTTTCAAAGCTATTGATTTCTATCGCAGTATTCTCTGTGTTCAAGCATTGATAGAATGTACAGATGTGTGACTTTAAGCTATTGGTAACTTACCAAGAGTGCGTCGGTGGCATTGTGGTTAGGACGCTCACTGACCGTGCACATGGTCCGAGGTTCGATACCCGGCCACAGACGCACTCCTTTATCTCGCTAAGCCAGAAATAATGCTGGTGAAGAGGAAAGGTTGGGCATGAGGCTAGAAACCCCATTCTGTAAAATAAACACTTCTTCAGAAACTTCAAGCCACTAGCTTGAAGCCCTATGTTATGTTCCACTGGGGAATGTGAAGGAAAAAAATAAATATAAAAAACATACCAAGAATTGTTCTATTCTACTTACCGATTACTTTCCCACATGTGTGTGTATACTGTGTTGTTCACGTTTAAGTGTTCTCAATGTGATCATCTTTATCGATGAATTCATGGTTATGTATTACGTCTATAGATATGATTGGTATGCATAGGCTGTTTCACTTCAATACATGTATTTCTGTCTCAGGTTCCGTGTTTATCAAACACTGCTGACTAACTTTCAGTCATTTTTGAGTTCTTATCTCCATTCATTCGTGTCTAAAGATTGCAATGTCATGGAGAAGTACATATCACAGAAATGGACTGCACGAAAAAACCTGGATAGTACATCAAGTGAGTCACTACAATGTAGGAGTGTACATGTTCTTTTTTCTACAATAATCGATTAGTATTCATAACTCACAGACTGAAGACGATGATTATCTGAGTACTTGTCACCTCATAGATCTTATTTATACAAATATCAATTAGCATTGGTCTCAGTATTATTTTCAATGGGATGACTTTTTTTCAAGTGTATTGATATTTCTTCTGTCATCAGCTTAGTCAACTTTTGTTCCGTGTTCTACATTTATTATAATCATGCGGGTATACTTCTACTGTTTCGAGGATACATGTATTTGTTGACAAAACTCATTCAAATTTAGTGTGAATCAAGCAAATAATAGTCATGAGTATAAGGAAATTGTTGATATTCCTGACGGCTCCTGATAACGACAAGTGATATTTCTGTAAGTGGATGTTCTCCCACGATTTATACATTAAATGCATACCATATTCCATTCCATATAGTCAGTCAGCTAGCCAGTCTTAATCCCAGAAAAAACAGAAGTTTCATCATGAAAATCCGATTTTTTAGAAGAGAATATAGAACGTAGATAACTGAATCAGTCAGGTTATTAACACTCCTCGCACAAACGTAATTTGAATAGCTGAATTCACGCTTTAAAAAACGATGAAAACTAATTTTATTTTCCATTCAACAACAGTTCTCTATATTCAGAAGTTGTTGGAAGCAAATATTTCTAAAGGCGGAATTGACTACGGTGAGTGTGTACAGTATCAGCTATTTGAATTTTATCCAATGTATCACAGTGCGTTGTTGTAAACGTCGTCGGTGAACTTACCTCCTTATTCTTCTTCTTCTTATTATTATTATTACTAGTAGCTCAGGATAGTCATAGGAAATTCCATCAACCTGACATTCACATTCTGACTAGACGATGTCATCTATATATGAGGTTTTTATAATTAAGTGGATCTTTGAAGAATATATATATCATTCATGAGATTGGGAATATAGTTTTCTTGAATGTCTCCCCCATGTTAGCGATATTTGTTTTGGTTCTTAGAGGAAGTTAGAGAATTTGACTGTTTAGTCAGCTTGCTTTATGAGTAAGACAAATAAACTTCAACCTCTGTTATTTTTATTTCATTATCACATATTTTGATCTGTACCAGGGTGTATGTACTTCATTGCATGACCACAAGAATGAATATTAATGAAGTGTACATCTTGTTATGTTTTCAACAGCGAATCACGTGGAGAAAACAAGGCAGGCGTTCGAAAATGCTCAGACAAATATGACCATTCACAGAGGTAACTTATATTAAATTTGAAAGACTTAATAATGAAAAAAGAATATTGATGTTTTCGATAAATTCATCATCAGCTACTGGAGCTATATGATAGTAATAATAATTGAACACATCTTGTTATTGCCAACATTATTACGAGCTGATCACGGATTGATATCAGTTAGAGAGAACCATTGAAAATCAACATTATTATTTTAAATTATACTACATCAGTAGTGCCTAAATATTGCATTCCCAAGAGACTTGTAAGAGATAATATACGACACGTTAGACTGAATTTCAGAAACATTTAGAGTGGTTACATACAGTTTGTGAATTTACAGGCTTGACAGCAATTCAGGGCAACCATAGTGTCTAACTGAACCTATTTCTTCATGATGCAGAGCTCCAATTGATTTAAGAGAATTTTAATGACCTCTGCTGTTTGTAGTGTTCGGTATCTAGAGGCTTTTGATGACTTATTTAATACCCAATATATGACATAGGAAGACTCTGGAATGCCAGCTGTATGGCCTTTTTGGAAGAAGTAATTTAATACAGAACTGTTGATGCTTCTGACAAAATGCCCTCATTTGACCATGCTGATAAGTATTGCTCAGCAGGAAAAATTATTTGCCTAGAGTAACGGTCAGTACAACTAGCTCTGCAGAAGCATTTGAACTGACAGACAGAGACATCTAGTCTAGCTACTTAATCTCTCAGTTTCGGAATCACAGCATGTTGTGTGGCGAACACAAGCTGCAGCTTACCGAAATTAAACGTTCTTTGAATTGATTCTTCTGACTTGTTGGTTATTATTATTATTATTTCACTTGATATATCGTATTTAGATTGTAGTCGTTTATATTTTAGGCTTCTTGTTGGCAGATACGGAAGAATTCTTTATTGCCTTGTTGTTCATGTGTTTCGTGAAGAACATTTCAGGGAAGCTCTTTTTAATTAACTTGCCGTATACAACTTTAAGTTCGTCTTCAGTTGCATATACTGAAAAAGTAGCGCTAACTACGTTGCTGAAAGACTTCACAAAATGTTTGTTCCACCAGTGACGAACAATTCAATGAAAATGTGTATATTAACCTGTGCAAGTACTTTTCATATGTAATGCTCTTTTCTTGATGCCGTCTAGTTAGTAGCAGGTTTCAAACAGTAATTATACCCCGGCATTCTTCCTCATATATAAATTTCATAGTTAAATGTACTTCATTCAAT